AAGGAGGAAACCAGTTTGTGGCCCCATAGCTGTTTGGGCGTGGCCATGGTGGGCATGGCCTAGTCGGACTCCTGCACCACAGTGGGGTGTGTGGTTTTAGCCCTCCCCAGGCTCCGGAGGCTTTACTGGAGCCTCCAGGAGGATGAAAACAGCCTCCCCCCAGCCCTCCGGAGGTTGGAAACGGCTCATTTTTGGACTTCTGGAACTTCCAGGAGGCCTGTTTTTCAACCTCCCCGAGCCTCCGCACGAGCCCTGTAGTTACCTGGCATCTAAAATGGGCTGCGTGGAGACTCCTGGGACGGGCAGGGTGGCATGAGAGGGGCCGGGTCGCATGGGCGGGGCCAGCCAGGCATGGGATTTGGGGGTTCGCTGAACTGGGCAGAATCCTAGCTAGAGGATTGGCCGAAATCCCCATCAGCCCACCCCCCTGGATTTAATTAATTCACACAACCCTTTAAACTGAGTTTTCATCAGCGGGCAAGGGAGCTTAAACAAGCATTACGGCACCCATTCTAATTTCTTAGATGCTTTCATTTCCCAGATATGTTGACCACAACATTTCAGCTAATATCCTCCCAATATATTGTGTCTAAGAAATAGATCCGGGAAGTGAGTTAACCAGTGGTTGATACTACACGAAGGAGGAGGAAGAGGAGGATAGAAAATGCAGGAAGTCTTTGACTTATGACCACAACTGAGCCCAAAATTTCTGTTGTTAAGGGAGACATTTGAGTTTTGCCTCATTTTACGATCTTTCTTGTCCAGGGAATCGCACCAGTGGATAAGTTAGTCACACAGTTATAAATGTGGATCTGGCTTCCCTTGCTGACTTTGCTGGTCAGAAAATTGCAAAAGGGGATCATGTGATCACATGATCATGGAGATGCTGTGAAGGTTGTAATTGTAAAAAAAAAACACTTGTTTCCATGCCGTTATAAATTAGAATGGTCACTAAATGAACAGTTGTAAGTCGAGGATTACTTCAGTTTGCTAGCTGTGTCTCAGTTGCCCTCCAGCTGTCTGCTGTGACCTGGGATATTTGGAGAGTTTCGTTAACCAGCAACAGGAAGGGAGATGCTGGGTGAAGGCTTTGAAATTAACTTGCCAAAACTTTCCTACAATATTATGAGCATTCTTCCCTCATTGTTCAATGACCCGACATCATGTTTGACAACATTAACATAATGGTGCTAAAACAAAAGCTTGCCACTTGGGAGAGGAAAAGACAGATTACTTTCTGACAACCATCAGAAAGAGAGAGAGGGGGGGGGAGAAAGAGAGGGAGGGAGACAGAGAGAGAGAGAGAGAAAAGGAAGAATATATATATATAGAGAGAGAGAGAGAAGGAAGAGAGACAGACAGAGACAGACAGAGACAGAGAGAGAAGGGAGAGAGAGAGAGAGAAGGGAGAGAGACAGATAGAGAAGGGAGAGAGAGAGAAGGGAGAAGACAGACAGAGAAAAGGGAGAAAGAGACAGAGAGAGAAGGAAGAGAGAGAAGAGAAACAGAGAGAGAAGGAAGAGAGATAGACAGAAGGGAGAAAGAGACAGAGAGAGAAGAAAGAGAGACACAGAGAGAAGGAAGAATATATATATAGAGAGAGAGAGAAGGAAGAGAGACAGACAGAGAGAGAAAAGGAAGGGGAGAGTATATAAATACAGTATATATATATATACAGTATATATATACAGTATAAGATAGAGAGAGAGAGAGAAAGAGAAGGAAGAGAGAGAGGGACAGAAAGGGACATAGAGAGAAGGAAGAGAGACAGAAGGAAGAGAGACAGAAGCGAGACAGAGAGAGAAGAAAGAGAGAGACAAAGAGGGGCAGAGAGAGAAGGAAGAGAAACAGACAAAGAAGAGGAGGAAGAGCCTTGGTGGCGTAGCAGACTAAAGTACTGTTAAGTAACACCAGCTGCCTGCAATTACTGCAAATTCAAATCTCACCAGGCTCAAGGTTGACTCAGCCTTCCATCCTTTCGAGGTAGGTAAAATGAGGACCCGGATTGTGGGGGCAATAAGCTGACTTTGTATAAAATATACAAAAGTATGAAGGCTATTGCTTAACGCATTGTAAGCCGCCCTGAGTCCCCGGAGAAGGGCGGCATATAAATCAAACCAATAAATAAATAAATAAATAAATAAATAAATAAATAAATAAATAAATAAATAAATAAATAAATACAGTATAAGAGAGAGAGAGAGAGAGAGAGAGAGAGAGAGAGAGAGGGATAGAGAGACTGACGGAAGAGGGACAGAGAGAGAAGGAAGAGAGACAGACAATGAGGGACAGAGAGAGAAGGAAGAGAGACAGACAAAGAGGGACAGAGAAAAAAGGAAGAAAGAGAGAAGGGAGAGAGAAAGAAGGGAGAGAGACAGAGAAGGAAGAGAGACAGACAGAGATAGAAGGAAGAGAGATAGAGAGAAGGAAGAGAGATAGAGAGAAGGAAGAGAGACAGAGAGAAACTGGAGAAAGAGGAAGAGAGAGAAGAGAGACAGAGAGAGAAGGAAGAGAGATAGAGAGAAGGAAGAGAAAGAGACAGAGAGAAGTAAGAGAGAGAGAGAGAGAAGGAAGAGAGAGAGAGAGTTACTGAATATTCACAAACTTCCACTGCCTGTCTAAGATTTGCATTTTTGACAAGGAGAAGCCTTCCATCAAACGGGAAATCAGATGGACCGAAGAAGAAGGGAGCTTATTTCAAAACATTTATTTCTCTCCAGATGGATTTGCGGGGCAGCTCAGCTTCACTTTGCATGTTCCATAAAGCAAAGCCGAAGGCCTCACGTGTCACAATATGCCGCACACATCAGCTTTTATTGACGACAATAACCGGGCGTCAGCAACACAACTTACATCAAGAAAAAAATAACAAGGAAAAGAGAAATACGCTGCAAACTCACGTTTGCTTTTCAGGTCTCGAGACCTCGCATTCGCTTCCGAGAATGGTGTCTGCTTTCCCCCATGCTGCACGTCAACACAGTGGTTTCATTGGGGGATCTTTCCCCCTAATAATCCCTCCGCCCCCCCAGGGGGGATACCAAGGCCAAGGAACGTTCCGGATCACCCACCCACTCAAAGAACAAAACCACTGTTTTTCTAACGTGACACAAATAGCCTTAAGATTTGCAGGATCACCAAGCTCTCTTCAAAGAGGTAGGTGGAGGGAGAGCTGAGAAAGGACTAGCTGACTCAGCAGCCAACCTGGAAGGAAACTCATTGTACCAGCTGTCCCGTTCACAGCTGTCTCTCACCAGGGCTCTCTCGACTCTTCAGCCGGTCATGGAAAGCCCAAGGAATCGCGGACGGAACTGAGCAAACCCCTGAGCTGTGAACTCGCGAGTGTGTGTTTGTGGATACGGAGCCCTTTCTCTGCCACCGCCGCACACATCCATTCTTTCCCTCCTCCATGGTCTTGGTTGAGAAAACACTTCTTTTCCTCCCCTTTTTTTCCCTTCTGCAAAACTCAATCCCTTCTCTAAAATCGACATCACTTTTCAGAAGGCAGCTGATTTATACCCATGCCCTGCCATCCTTGATGCTGCTTTTCCAAGAACTCTGGCCACTTAAAACCCACCGTCTACTTTTTTTCCGTGGAACAAAAGAGAAGCTTCAGTGCTTTCAGTCCTTTGGTTAGGGTTAAGGAGACAGAGTTGGAAATCAGGTAAGACGGCAAGAGGAGCCCTGTCTTGCTCCAGGCACCCCAAAATAACAAGTCCTCCCCGAAAATACGGACAAACGCTTATTTCACGGTTCAAAAAAAAATAAGACAGGGTCTTATTTTTGGGGAAACATGGTATCTAGCTATCTATCATCTATCCATCCATCCATCCATCCATCCATCCATCCATCCATCCATGTCTATCTGTCTATCATCTATCTATCCATCTGTCTGTCTGTCTGTCTGTCTGCCTGTCCGTCCATCCGTCCATCCATCCATCCGTCCGTCCATCCATCCATCCATCCATCCATCCATCCATCCATCCATCCATGTCTGTCTGTCTATCATCTATCTATCTATCTATCTATCTATCTATCTATCTATCTATCTATCTATCTATCCATCCATCCATCCATCCATCCATCCATCCATCCATCCTTCCATCCATCCATCCATCCATGTCTGTCTGTCTGTCTACCGTCTACCATCTATCTATCTATCTATCTATCTATCTATCTATCTATCTATCTATCTGAGCCGAGGTGGCGCAGTGGTTAGAGTGCAGTACTGCAGCTACTTCAACTGACTGCTAGTTCAGCAGATCAGTGGATCAAATCTCACCGGTTCAAGGTTGACTCAGCCTTCCATCCTTCCGAGGTGGGTAAAATGAGGACCCAGATTGCTGGGGGCAATATGCTATTTAGTATGCTGTCTTTGGTGTAAGCCGCCCAGAGTCCTCGGAGAGTGGGTGGCATAGAAATATGACAAATAAATAAATAAATAAATAAATAAATAAATAAATAAATAAATATCATCTATCTAATCTGTGCTGTTTTTGGAGGTTAGGCTGCTCATTCTTGAACACGCAGAAAGTTCATGGGTTTATAACCACCTAGAATCTTTGGGGGAAATGGGGAATATAAAGGAGCCTTGGTAGTACAGTGGTTTAAGGCGCCCTGTTATTAAGCTGGTTATTAAGACCAGCTGCCTGCAATTACTGCAGGGTTCGAATCTTGCCAAGGCTCAAGGTTGACTCAGCCTTCCATCCTTTCTAAGGTAGGTAAATTGAGGACCCAGTTTGTGGGGGCAATAAGCTGACTTTGTATAAATATACAAAAGGATGAAGGTTATTGCTTAGCACATTGTAAGCCGCCCTGAGTCTTCGGAGAAGGGCAGCATATAAATCAAATGAAAAAAATAAATAAAGAAAGAAGGAAAGATGGACGTTCCAGATGCTAACATAGGCGTACCCCTCAAAAAAACAACAACAACCTGCATTCATCTACACACAAACACAGCCTATGCATTGTTCACAAGAAGATCTGGTGGGAACCGAGCTTACCTGAAGGTCATCTGGAAAACCTGGCCTTGGTTGACGTGTTGGGTCCTGTTGTTGTAACCATGAAGCATCTCCCCAAAGAGAGTGTCGTTGAAGTTCACATCTGGCTTGAGACACTTGGGGCCCTCACAGATGTCCGATAACAGGAGGCAGGACTTGCCGTCTGGAGCCAACTTGTACTCCTCGACGCAACTGAAGACCAAACACAGAGAAAAGTCCTCAGCATCGGTCCAACAACACAACGGAACAGGTCAAGTCCAGCTCAATCATATTGTAGCCATCTCACAACTGGAGTTCCTCCAGATGAGATGGAATGTTAACTCCTAGAATGTCAAAAGTTGGAATGAGGTATTCCAAAGGCAAAATTCTTTGCACATTTCTCCTCTTTGAGAAGGTAACGTCGATGAAATAATACAAGGGGTGGCGGGTTGGTTAAGAGTGCAGCATTACAAGCTAATTCTGCCAGGAGTTCGATCCTGAATGGCTCAAGGTTGACTCAGCCTTCTGTCCTTCCAAGGTCGGTAAAATGAGGATCTACATTGTTGGAGACAATCGCTCCAAACTCGATTGCAGAAAATATGACTTCGGCAACAGAGTGGTCAATGCCTGGAATGCTCCACCTGACTCTGTGGTTTCATCCCCAAACCCCCAAAATTTTAACCTAAAACTGTCTACTGTTGACCTCACTCCAAGGTCTGTAAGGGGCGTGCATAAGAGCACCAGCGTGCCTACCGTCCCTGTCCTAACGTTCCCTTTAATTGTATTCATTTTATGTATTTAATTCATGTTTATATTTATATATATTATCAAATACGTACTCGACGAAATAAATAAATTAAATAAATAAATAAAATAAATAGGGTGACTCTGTAAAATGGTAAGAGAGTGCTGTAAAGCACTGTGAAGCGGTATATAAGACTAGGTGAAACTGATAGAAATAAGTGTGCCTCTTAGAGATGATGCTTCAAGGAAGAATGCAGCTGCAAGACAGCTCACATTCAGAGGGACTAATTCATAAACATCTTCTTTGAAATGGATTGGATGATGGAGGGGGGGGGGATCAGCAATGGGAAGTACCTGGGAGGGTGAAAGTTATACCTAGAGATTTGGTGCACAAACTTCAGTTCTGGCTTTGCTTTACTGTAATCCATTGACCTTTAGTAAACTATACCTTTATCACAGGGGTGAAATCCAAATATTTTCCCCTACCGGTTCTGTGGGCGTGGCTTGGTGGGCGTGGCAGGGGAAGGATACTGCAAAATCTCCATTCCCTTCCCTCCTGGAGGAAGGATATTACAAAATCTCCATTCCTACTCCACCCTGGGGTCACCAGAGGTGGTATTTGCCGGTTCTCCAAACTGCTCAAAATTTCCACTACCGGTTCGCCAGAACCTGTTAGAGCCTGCTGGATTTCACCCTTGCTTTATCAACACATGGAGTCAAGGATGGTTCTTATTTAAAGGTACAAATTGAGGTGGGGCTGACATGCTCACGGTAGGTAACCAAATGCCAACAGGACAGATCAGAGAGAATGTACTGCTTGCTTAGATGTTCTCAATTTCCACCTCCCCCCTTCATCTACTGTACTTTCATGCCACTGGTTATATGTTAATTAAGTAAATATTAATCAACTGGCTAATTAAGTCATTCAGTTGCCTTTTTCCCCCCTCAGCAGAAAAATAAATTAAAACAAGACCTAGATCTAGGGTGCAAAATGTCCCTCTGGCAATCCAGGTAGAATTAGAAATACTCTGATGTTTTGAAAAAATAGGGCTCTTCCCAATGCATTTTCCTCCTCTTTACCTCCCTGTTTTTCCTCCTCTGAGCTGTAAAACAATTCACACAAAACCAGGAAGTGGTGAACCCGACACTCCAGGGAACCGTGAAGGGCTGCAACACAACAAAATTGCTGCCACCTGCGCACCTGGCGGTGTCAGGATTTGACAGATGTTTCATGGCGTCGCTTTTAAGGAAGTGCTTCTCCGGTGCAGAAAAGTACCCTTCGCATCTTGCTGAAGGTCAAAAATGAAGCGGAGGCGCCAGATTTTTTTTGCCGCGAACTGAAACAGCAAATAAACTAGAGGAGGAGGAAATGCAGGGAAAGGAAGTATGTCGACACAGGTGTGTCCAAGACAACAGTGTTGAACGAAATACAAGAGCTTTGAAGAGGAGAAATATTCCTTATTAGTGAATGGGTGAGCAGGGTGCACATTGGGTGAAGAATGTGGAAGCCTTCCATAAGGCTTCCTATACCCATGTTTAAAAAATACAGCGTATAGACTAGCTTCCTGAGACATATTCCTTCCCCTGCCTGCATTAACAGAGGGATAGAATCAAGATCACATGAAGTGTTGGGAGCCTTGGTAGTACAGTGGTCTAAAGCACCCTGTTATTAAGACCAGCTGTCTGCAATTACTGCTGGTTCGAATCTCTCCAAGGCTCAAGGTTGACTCAGCCTTCCATCCTTTCTAAGGTAGGTAAATTGAGGAGCCAGTTTGTGGGGGCAATAAGCTGACTTTGTATAAATATACAAAAGGATGAAGGCTATTGCTTAGCACATTGTAAGCCGCCCTGAGTCTCTGGAGAAGGGCGGCATATAAATCATTTTTTTAAAAAAAAGTGTTAATACCACTTTATAATGCCTTGGTAAGGCCACACTTGGAATCCTGCATCCAGTTTTCATCGCCACAATGTAAAAAAAGAGGTTGAGACTCTAGAAAGAGTGCAGAGAAGAGCAACAAAGAGGGGACTGGGGCTAAAACATATGAAGAACGGTTGCAGGAACTGGGCATGGCTAGTCTAGTAAAGAGAAAAGAAGGACCAGGGGAGACTGATAGCAGTCTTCCAATATTTGAGGGGCTGCTACAGAGAGGAAGTGGTCAAGCTATTTCCCAAGGCACCTGAAGGCCAGGCATTTAAGGAGGAGATGAATAATAAGAAATAGTAATAAAGTGAAAGATCAATGATGAGAGAGAGAGAGAGAGGGAGGGAGGGAGGGAGGGAGGGAGGAGGGAAGGAAGGAAGGAAGGAAGGAAGGAAGGAAAAGAAGAAGGTGGGTGGCTGGGTGGGAGGAAGGGAGGGAGGGAGGGAGAGAGAGGGAGGAAGGAAGGAAGGAAGGAAGGAAGGAAGGAAGGAAGGAAGGAAGAAGGCAGGTGGGAGGGAGGGAGGGAGAGAGAGGAAGGAAGGAAGGGAGGAAGGAAGGAAGGAAGGAAGGAAGGGAGGGAGGGAGGAAGGGAGGGAGGGAGAGAGAGGAAGGAAGGAAGGAAGGAAGGAAGGAAGGAAGGAAGGAAGGAAGGAAGGAAGGAAGGAAGGAAGGTGGAAGGGAGGGAGGGAGAGAGGGAGAGAGGGAGATCTGTCTTGCAAAAATATTTAACCAGGGGAGGTTAAGTGGGAGGTTGTCATGTTTTCTTCGAGAAAATCTTTAATACATTAATGGAGGAATAGAATCAAGATCATGTGAAGTGTTACTACCACTTTATAATGCCTTGGTGAGACCACATCTGGAATACTCCATCCAGTTTTAGTCACTGTGATACAAAAAAGGTGTGGAGACTCTAGAAAGAGTGCAGAGAAGAGCAACCAAGATGATTAGGGGACTGGAGGCTAAAACATATGAAGGATGGTGGCAGGAATTGGGTATGTCTAGCCCAGGAGCAACCCATGGCTCTGGAGCCGAATGTGGCTCTTTCATCCCTCTGCTGCGGCTTCCTGTTGTTGTCCGGCTCCACAATTGATAGGACTTTCGGTTAGGACAGGTAGAGGAAAAAGGATGCCGTGCTAGGAGGAGACTCTATGGTGGGGGAACTGGACTTCCGGTCAGCAGAGGAAAAAGGACACTGCTCTAGGAGGAGGCTCTATGATGGGGGAACTGGACTTCTGGTTGGCTCCAGAATTGAACGGGGGCTTCCGGTTAGGACCTTTGTGGCTCTTTGAGTGTTTAAGGTTGCCGACCCCTGGGCTAGTCTGATGAAAAGAAGGACTAGGGGGGACATGTTTAGAACATTAACCTTTCTTCCTTACCCACAGAACATGTGGATGGTGCTGGAGGTTGGGTCCCACAGGAGAGGGAGAGTTTGCTGAAGGCACAGCTGCTCGCAACCACCATTGAAGCCATCTGAGCAATCAATCCCCTTCGAGTAGTCGTAGCAGCCGGTCCCATCTTTCATGGGTCTCAGGTCCTCGGGGCACTGCAGGAAGAAGGGAAGGAAAGGAGAATACAGGTGAGACGGGAGACTGTCAGCTGTTGTGGGATTTCAGCTGTTGTGGGATGTCAGCTGTTGTGGGAAGGATGCAAAATACTGGCCAGGGATCAAGGATTGTTGGTGGACCTGCAAGAAAATCCAGAACACAACAATGATGTTCGTCCTCCGAGACCCCTTTTTTTTGTGGAGTGTCCTTGGTTTAGTACCAATAAGGGAGAATATTTCTAGTTTAGGATTGAAACGGAGGAGGAATCCTTGGTGTTCTCTGAGCTTGGTTGTTTTCTTGTACAAAGTTTGAGTAATGAAATGTCTGCAAGAAAACAACCAAGCTCGGATAGGATAGGATAGGATAGGATAGGATAGGATAGGATAGGATAGGAATAGGAATAGGAATAGGAATAGGAATGGAATGGAATGGAATGGAATGGAATGGAATGGAATAGAATAGAATAAAGAGAATAGAATAGAATAGAATAGAATAGAATGTGGAGTGGAGTGGAGTGGAGTGGAATGGAATGGAATGGAATGGAATAGAATAGAATAGAATAGAAAATAGAATAGAATAGAATAGAATAGAATAGAATAGAATAGAATAGAATAGAATAGAATAGAATAGAATAGAATAGAATTCCTTATTGGCCAAGTGTGATTGGACACACAAGGAATTTGTCTTCGGTGCACAAGCTCTCAGTGTACCTAAAAAATACATTCATCAAGAATCATAAGATACAACAGTGATAATCATAGGATACTAAACAAGCAATCAAATCATACTAGGAAACGAAATAAAACAATATAAATTGTAAAAATGCAAGCAACAAGATTATACTCATAAGTAGAAAAGGAGATAGGTAATAGGACAGATGAGAAAAATAATAACAAATACAGTCTTAGTAAATAGTTTGACAGTGTTGAGGGAATTATTTGTTTAGCAGAGTGATGGCGTCCAGGAAAAAACTGTCCTTGTGTCTAGTTGTTCTGGTGTGCAGTGCTCTATAGTGTCGTTTTGAGGGTAGGAGTTGAAACAATTTATGTCCAGGATGTGAGGGGTCTGTAGATATTTTCACAGCCCTCTTTTTGACTCGTGCAGTATACAGGTCCTCCATGGAAGGCAGGTTGGTAGCAATTGTTTTTTTTTTTTTCTGTAGTTCTAATTATCCATTGAAGTCTGTGTCTGTCTTGTTGGGTTGCAGAGCCAAACCAGACAGTTATAGAGGTGCTGATGACAGACTCAATCATTCCTCTGTAGAACTGTATCAGTAGCTCCTTGGGGCAGCCACATCAAGGACTCCCATTCCTTGATTTGTCCTAATTTTGGTTGAGGAACCCTCTTTGATCCAATGCATGTGCTTTCCACACTTTTACAGAACTCCTCAGCACAACAGAAAGCACGGCAGTCACCCCTGCCCCAATCGAAGACCTCCAAACATTGCAGTGTGTTGCAGATGCTGTCTATCAAATAACCCTGAGCAAGACTTCTACAGTAGCCTTTAACTTGGCAAAGGACAATTCCTTGTTCCGCATCAAAACTGAAATGGAAACCGACTCTTTTTGCAAAATATGGATAAGGTTATCTGCAAATAACAGAATGGCAGAGTTGGGAGGGACCTTGGAGGTCTTCCAATCCAACCCTCTGCTCAAGCAGGAAACCCTAAATCACGCCAGACAAATGGTTGTCCCATCTCTTCTTCAAACCCTCCAGTGATGGAGCCACCCACAATTTCTGAAGGCATGTCGTTCCACTGATTAATTGATCTGGGATTTATAGGATAACACAATAACAGAATTGGAAGGGGCCTTGGAGATCTTCTGGTCCAACCCCCAGCTCAAGAAGGGAGCGTGTGTGTGTGTGTGTGTGTGTGTGTGTGTGTCAAAGTTCAATGCCCCCCTGCCCCACCACGCCACACATGCGTATGTGACACACATACACACACCCCCGAGCTCTTCTTGCTTTTGTCATGCAACCGCAAAAAGTTACTGGTGGGGCCGGTAGGCCTGTTTTTCACCCTCTCCAGGCTCCAGAGGCTTTCTTGTAGCCTGGGGAGGGTGAAAACGGCTTCCCCCACCCCCCGCCCCCAAGGCCCTCTGGAGGCTGGAAACGGCCCATTTCCCAACTTCTGGTGGGCCCGGAAGGCCCATTTTGTGCCCTCCCCAGGTTCCAGAGGCTTTCTTGGAACCTGGAGAGGGTGAAAATGGCCTCCCTCCCCGAGGCCCTCCAAAGGCTGGAAACGGCCCATTTCCTGACTTCCGGTGGGCCCAGAAGGCCTGAAAATCAGCGAGCTGGCATGTACATGCGCACTGGAACTGAGCAATGCTCGCATCCCCACAGATATGGCTCGACGTGCCACCTGTGGCACGCGTGCCATAGGTTCACCATCACGGCCCTATACCATTTCATTGTCCACTCTCTTCTTAAAAACATCCAGTATTGGAGCATTCACAACTTCTGAGGGCAAGTTGTTCCACTGATTATTTGTTCTCACTGTCAGGAAGCTTCTCCTTAGTTCTAGGTTGCTTCTCTTCTTGATTACTTTCCACCTGTTGCTTCTTGTCCTTCCCTCAAGGGCTTTGGAGAATAGGTTGATACCTCTTCTTCTTTGTGGTGGCCCCTCAAGTATTGGAAGACTGCTATCATGTCTCCCTTAGTCCTTCTTTTCACTAGACTTGACCTACCCAGTTACTGTTCTTTGTATATTTTATCCTTCATCATCTTTGTTGCTCTTCTCTGCACTCTTTCCAGAGCCTCAACATCTTTTTAATAAGGTAGCACAATCCCACAATGTAAAAATGGTGCGGCCGCCGCCATGTACATTGCGACAGACACCCGAGGTTTTGGGATTTCGAATAGAGCTGTTCTCATTTTCTAACCAGGGAGCCCGGCCTCCCTTTGAAGAGCCCTTAATGCATTTATTCCAGCCGAAAAATCGGACGGCGGTTTTTAATTTTAGTTTCCCAGCAAGCATTTTCCGATACCGAGCGGTTAAAGTGGACATTAATCAATGCCCTCCCTTATTAAGCAGAACTCTTATGTTCCCCTCCAAGGCCTCCTATTATTTACTTCTCTGAAACCTGTACAAAGAGGAAGGGGTGGAGGGGAATGGAAAGCCCTTGTCACCTCATGGTTAGATTATTGCAACGCGCTCTACATGGGGCTACCCTTGAAAAGTGTTCAGAGACTACAGTTGGTCCAGAACGCAGCCGCGAGAGCTGTCGTGGGTGCACCTAGATACATCCACATTACACCAATTCTCCTCAAGATGCACTGGCTCCCTATTGGTCTCTGGGCACAATTCAAGGTGTTGGTTATTACCTTTAAAGTCCTACATGGCTCAGGGCCAGGTTATCTTCGAGACCGCCTTCTACTGCATAGCTCCCAGTGACTGGTAAGATCCCACAGAGTTGGTCTCCTCTGGGTCCCGTCAGCTAAACAATGCCGGCTGGCGGGCCCATGGGGGAAGGCCTTCTCTGTGGCTGCCCCAGCTCTCTGGAACCAGTTACCTCCTGAGGTCCAGACCATCCCCACCCTATTGGCCTTCTGAAAAGTGGTGAAGACCTGGCTTTTCCGGCAGGCCTGGGGCCGTTGATCTCGCTCTTGTGATCTGGCGAGATCCGGCCATGAATGGTGTGAATGGGTTTTAATATTTTAATTTTTAAATGTTTTTATAATGGTTTTTTTAAATGCATTGTAAGCCGCCCTGAGTCTCCGGAGAAAGGCGGCATATAAATTGAACTAATAATAATAATAATAAAAAAAGGGGGGGAACCTACCATCTTACCATCTTTGGATGGTAAGAAGAAGGCAGGGGTCTTATTCGCTTACCTTCGCTACCGGTTTGCAAATGTACGCGCGCACACGCCACCTCCGAGCATGGGCAGGACCTTCTCCACATTCGCAGAGCGTCAAAAACGGGACGTGAGGATGTCCAGGAGGGTGGGCGGTGTAGTGAACTAGGCTTACTAAGTCATTACAAGACACAATTAGTCCCAAATAAACCTATTTTATTGTAACAGCTGAGAATTACGTTCATTCCCAGCTAAGTCCCAATTAGTTGCCAAAAACAAGTCCTTCGGAAGAAGTCCTTCGGGATAATCACCAACCTTGATCTTCTTTGACACCCTGCCAAAGGCCTTACTTGGCAAAGCCCCACGAAGTTCAGAAACAAAGAAGAGATGCCGACTGGAAACAGAGTTAGCAATGTTGCTTTCCTGCAAAAAGGCCCAAGTGCCTTTGTTTCTCTTTTAAGCCTTATGGGAGGGGCCATCATCTCCTGGCCTTACTCCCGAGTTGTCTCTTTTGCTTTAGCTGCTCTTGCCTTCTGGCAGCTCTGCGCATGCGCGCAGTAGGAACAGGCTCCTCCTGTTCCTCTGGCTCTCTGCTGTCTGACTCTGGAGGCTCCGGAGTCTGCTCATCACTCCCAGATGGCCCTGGCCCCATCTCTGCCTCTGACGCAGAGCCCTCACCCAGGCCTTCCCCAGACTCTAGGACTGGCCCATGTTCCTCCCCAGCCTCCTCACTGTCCGACTCCGCTGCCAGCTCCTCAGGCTGCCATCGGACCACAACAGGTGGAGCCTCCCGCAGCCACAGCTACCAATTCGCCCAAGCTGGATAGATCTGGCTGCATCCCATCACCGGAAGAAGGTAATAAATGGGGTTGAACAACGGTTCCAGCAAGTGCTTGATGGGATTCCTGAATAGGAGCAAAAATCCCAGCTAGCCCAGAGCTGCAAGAAGTCAAGTTACAAATGACCTCTTCCAAGCAAAAACCAAGCTGGAAGATAAACGCATTTTAAATAATAACAACAATAATAATTTGCAAGCACATTTACATATTTGCAGCCTCTGACCACCGGATATTTGACTGTCCTTGTCTTCCAGAGTGCAAACCCCAAGGTTTTGCTTTAAAAAAAAAATGTTTGCACAGTACACATGAACTAAAGTCGCTGGGAGGCAGGCAGCATCTAAATGTAATTTATTGTTATTATTC